TAGTTTTAAATAGAATTAATATTTAAAAAGCAGATTATGAAAAGACTACTTTTTTGTTGAATAGAACTATTATTATTGTTAGGAGATTTAACATTTTATCGCCATGTTTTTCAAAACATTATAAAACAAAACAATGTTTGTTATATGAATTTTTTTAAAGTTTACCAGTAAAATAGTCATAAGTTATGCTTATAACACTTCACTATTGATAGGAATTGTTGTCAGACTAGATATCTAAGTTACCTTAGTGAATACAAATATAGGAATAATTAATTATTAACATAATGCTTATTTAAACAACTATAATATAATTTTATCTTTAAATCGCTTAGAACTGCTTAGTATGAATTTAAGAAATTTTTGTCAGTTCGATGATTATAATATTATAATTTAGGAAAAATTAAAGTATCTAGTTACAATTATATTTACCTATCTGATTTGAAATGAGTTGGGATGATAAGTTATTTGATCACATAAAAAATGTTCAAGTACAGAAAATAATCACTAGTAATCATAGAGCCATACATTAATATTGAACATACAATTATGTCAACATATCATAATTAGAACAGTGTAAAGAAACTGACAGTACACTATAATAGCACTTTATAATTTGTACACAATTGTATGATTTTGTGTTGAGTTAAATTAAATTAAATTTAGTCAATTGATTTTCACACAATAGTGATAGTGAATAAAATTGGTTGAGAATTTAGATTTTTCACTCTGGAAAACTATATTTAAGTTATTACCTACTTTTTGTGATTCAATTTCTAAAATACAAGTTAGGATTCTTACGCGTTGACTGCGTACAAACACAAATTGACATTTTGAGGATCAATCAGCTACACATTAATGTAAATAGTTTAAAATATTTATAMATACATCACTTGGACATATGACCATATAGCATCAGTTCCATTATATTACTTTTAGAAAACTGTTGTTTTTACTTTTATAATATGCAGTGAGTAAAAACTGCAAAAATATACGCAGTCAAAGCGTAAAATAAAAAACAAAATAAGTTTTATGAGTGACCTTGGGGAGGGGATATTCTAATTCAGCTTCAAAATAATTTAAAAAATGTTAAGATTAATAATAATATAATATAAAATTACATCACGTGGAGGATGATTACGAAATACACCATCTTGAGACAATTGAATTGCCATTTTCACATCATCAGCATCTATTTTATCCTTATTGGCAAATTTCGAACAAGCCTTAGCTTCTTCTAGAATGTGTGATGTGTATCCTGATAAACAAAATTAGAAATCAAATACTATTTTTCACTGTAGCTTGCGGGTACCTACTGTATTTAAATTCTAGCAAGGGATTTAAAACTTGCTGTTCATATTCATGTATTCCTAAATCCTTCATGATCGACACAATGGTTTCAACATCTTTAGGCCCATGATTTCCKTTAGAAGACGACATTTTACAACACCAAAATGGTTATCTCTATTGTTTTCCGATTCCTGTGAATTAAATAAAAAATTATATCATAAACAATTAAACGACTAATAAAATAACTAAASATTGATTATTATACACGTATCGATATAATAGTACCTACTAATAAATAACACTCCCGACAAATAAGCGCAAATATCAAGGGTGCAGAAAACAAACGAARCGAAATCCCCAATTAATAAACTGTTACCCACCAATAGGTATTTTATCAGTTTATCACGGGTCGCGGAAAATATGATAGGTAATGAAAATATTTCATGGAAAACTTACAAGGAGTCCGTGTACGGGCCGTGTTATGGAAACGAGAAGTCGTGTTAGTGTCGGTAGTGAACACTTGAGTCTTGAATGCACAATTTTGTCTGGTTCGGGCCCCGGGTAGGTTGCAGTGGGCGTCGAGATTTGAGAGGTTACGATGCGTCGACGCCTGCGCTATTTGCTTATATCTAAACCAAAYGTGACGACACCAATAAAACCACCGGTAGCGCTGAATACATTCAATGCCCGGGGAAAGTTATTAACCTTTTTTCTCGATCAGCCGTCCCCCGGCCCTCGCCTACCATGTTGTCCGCAGTTCATTTTATCATCCCCGTCCGCGGGTTCTCAAAATGTTACGGGCGAGGGCGTCGGAGCAGGTGCGTTTTTTTTTTTTTGTACAAAAATATGTACTACAGGAAAAACTCTCACGCCCTGTAAAATGTACGGATTTCGTTCATTTTTTCGCCTCCCGGATCATATTATAGAAATTATTATAAAGAAAAACAGTGACAATAGGCAGCTATTATGGATTAAATGGATACAATTTCTTTGATTAAAAACTAGTTAATTAGCTTTTTATTTTGTTTTAATCGAGGTCAAACATTATCGAACAACTCATTATWACTGCATAATATTATCRGTGGCGTTTTTGCCGGGGAGCAAGGGTATCTATTTGCCTCAGATAATAATAATAAATATGTATTTAATATTATTTATCTAATGGTCACTACACGGGCGTTCTCGCAGGGGAGGGGAATATGGGGATGCACCCACATGACCTTTTTTTTAGATAATAAGATGCATTTTCTTAATTAACTGATTAAGTGATATTTAATATATCAATGAAAATTAAATAAATTAATATGCAATTGATATACAGATAACAGATTACAGACCACAGTAGTTGTAGACTGTAATATATTGTGTAATGTACTAATGTGTAATCTATTATTATATTGATGTACACAAAACCTTTGTCCCACGATATTATAACTATACTACTCTATATGATTTTGTAAATTTATCCTAATATTACTTCATATCATATACTTATATAGGTAGAGGCTGTAATCGTTTAGGTAATTATAAGTTTGGTTATTTACTAAACGATTATAGGTCTATGATAGGTACCTATATCAAGAGACAAAAATTAATAATGGTTTACTTTTGTTGAAAATTAATATTTACACAGAAAATTAAACGAAAAACTATTTAATCAACCAGTAATTTAAAATTATACATTTGTATAAACATGTTTTCAATTTTAAGTATAGGTTCTTATTATTTTGCAAATTAATTCAAAAAATATAAGTAATATTACAATGGATAGTAAGTTTTCAGTAAGGTATTCTTATAAATAAAATACCTTGTACAAAGTTCATTAAACTATAYTAGTCACTAAAGAATTAACAAATCAMGTACTTAAGTTTTGTACTATACTATAATATGATACATTATACATATAAAAGTATAATATTTATATGAAATTAATTAAAGTGTTATAAGTGATAACAAAATTTTTAAATAAGTTTAAAAAAATCAACAAATCAATGAAATTTTGTTGGTATTGTACTTCAATAGGTATAAAGTTCAGCATCTGCAGGTGCAAAAGCATATCTTTGCACCTGCTACATAATACCAGGGGGTGCAACTGTGCGTGTGCACCGTCGTGCATCCCCGTAATTACGCCACTGAGTAAGTGAATGTTATAGATAAGTAGATAKGTTCTAATAATATTTAAATATTTTRCTATAGCCAATAAATTTGTATTATTTTTAAACATGTAGATATAGTATAGATACATAAAATATATTAATATAATGTAATGACAAATGAACTAGAATGGACGTAGAATACAATACATAATACATTGGTTTTAATAATATTTAACAGGCAAGGAGTTTGACTTTTTTTTTTTGCTGCGGTTGGTAATTCGAGCTGCAATTCATCCCTCAGCAATAATTTAGACTTCTACCTGGCCAAGAAATAACAATCCATGGCTGGGGTTTCAATAGGGTGGGGGAGGAGGGAATCATATTATTGATCTACTTATTGCAGCTTTAGCGCACGCGCGTATTAGGGTTTCGTGCTACATGTTGACAGTCAATCGATATCACACAGACCTATAATATTTTCAGACACATTTGGAAGGTTGCTTACATATTATTCCTGCAGTTATAGTGTGCAGTGGCGAGGCGAGCTATTTTAACACAKGTCACAGGGAGCAAAGATTTTAGTCTAGGTACCCACCCACCCAATATTCTATCAAATACACAAAAAATCGKATTATCTTGTTGCTTATTTATATTATAGTAGAACATAGTTACATCACTACTTCCAGTATAAGATCAATTGTAATACCCACCCACCAAAAATTTGGAGGAGCAGCTGCTCCTCTAGACCCCCTTCACCACGCCACTGATAATAGTGTGTTATTGTTACTCATAAAACATTCAAAATTCACTCCATAAGCACACTCATTTGTATTCCGCTTAAATGCATCACTGCGGCATTTTCTAATATACATTATACTGATGTATTATAATTATGTTAGGAATAGGACCTATAAAATATATAATATATGTCTCAATGAGTCATAAACTTGCAAAAAAATGTCAAATACATAATAATAATATTGTCATTATACATAAATCTCGTGTCTCGATGTTGGATCATATTAAATTAATCTCCAAAACCATATAACCGACCATAATTAACTACAT